TGTTTCTTTGATGTTGAAGGCTTTTCTTCTGTCTCTTCACTGGGCCTTTTCTTTTTCCCAAGGAAACTTTCTAACAACGTGTGTTTTGTACTCATTTTTGCTAATTTCTGGGTTAAATTTGAGCAAACACAATATACACATAAACCAAGCACTGTTAAACATGAGAAAGTACCGGTGAACAGAGAGAAGAGCGCCCCGATATCACAATATTTTGTGCATGCATGGTATTGGTGCGGTTTTCGGTGATGTCTCTCAGCTCCTGGTTAATCTCTCGTCCATGGAAAGTCGAACAAACCCGAGAGAAATACACCACAGTAAATAAAATGGAAATAATTTAATGTTCCTTGGGTGGCCAGGTACCATTTGATCCACGGACCGCTACTGGTCTGTGGCCCGGGGGTTGGGGACCACTGCTCTAGATGACATGTTCATAATGATAGCTTCCAGTCCTTATTCTGTATCAACAATCTGTCAGAAACATATTAGTTTTTTTCTTGGATTGTGAGAAAAAAAGTTTGTTTCTTCCCATTAGCACAAATGACAGTCACAAGACATTTATTTACCTATATAATTTATTATTTTATGTATAAGATTTGTAATGCTTGCCATGATTCCCTGGATAATGAGTACTATATGTTAATAAGATAAATTTAAAACAAAAGCAGAATGGCAGCATTGTCCCAAAGGGGCTTTTTCAGAAGGCACTTGGACTTTCTTGTTTTTCCCCCCCTTTCTTCTTTGCTTCTCATCCAAGAAGTTTATTCAGCTCTGACAGGATAGTGGGGAATGGAAGGAATGGACTGCTTTCTGCAAGGAATATAAACCCTTCTATTCCCCATTATCCTGTTAGAGCTGAAAAACTTTCTTGGGGGAGAAATGAAATGTTTTCAAAAGAAAAAACAAGAAAGTCCAGTTGCCCCCTGAAAAAACAACTTTGGGACAACCGTGACCTGGATGACTGAGAATCTCTACAGACTTTCATAATGACAGCACTGCATCAAATAGCTGGTATGTAAGGATTTGCACACACCTCGGACCAGAACTGACTGGCACATAGCACTTCTATTCACAAAATTGCTTTTAAAAAGTGTTGATCCCACCTGCTTTCATGATAGAACAATAAAATGAGCCCAACAATGGATATCGTTATGAAACATTTTGATCTATGAATAAGAAACAAATACAATAAAAATACATAACAGTGTGCATAGTATGAAAACACTGGACAGCAGAGCATTTTTTCTCATAACTCTAAAATCTGGGGTCATTGCCTAATATGCTGAGTGGAAGAGAAGAGATTTATCTCACACAGCATAGAATTAAGAAATAAAATTCCTTAGCACAAGGCCAGTAACTGTTGCCAATATGAATACCTTTATGAAAGATTTAGACAAATGAACAGTTAACTTGAAGTAGGCATTAAGACATTGATGGGCTGCTAGTTGCAGATGAATCTCATGCTTTTTCTTAAGAAAATCCTCACCAGCAACCTTTATCTCTCAGCCTAGAGCGACCTCCTCAACACTACAACCCAGCTGTAGTTGTGCACCGGATTAGGAAGGATACCATCGCAACCTTACAGGTTTGTGTACTGCTAAAGGTCACGAGGTAGAGGAACTCGGGGGGAAAAGGAGGAAATAAACAAGTCAAGGGACCGTCGAAGAGGATCTGCTTACAAGGACTCCAGATGCTGGATCTGTTGGATTTGTTGCACAATCCGCTTATTTCGCTTTTGCTCCTTCCGATCCTGCCCTTTATGGTTTGTCTGGGAGCTGCAGCTGGGCAGCGATTCGCTGGAGCTCCGATGTTTCCGGAGGCTGCCGCCTGCCCCTGCCACTTCCAGCTTGCCTCCTTGGAACATGGCCGCAGTGACAGTACCAGGACCGCGGCAAGCGATCGGGCTCCCAAACAGGCTTGGCCTCCGCTCGACCGGCGTCTCCTTTCACTTCCAGGTTGGAGTGGAAACAGACACTTCCTTCAGCTAGCGGGGCTACCTCTCTCGAGGCAGCGCCCCCTTCTCTTCTTATTCCAGCCTTTTGGCCGAGAGATCGCGGAAGCTTTGCTCCTCTTCGGGCGGGGCCGAAGCGAAGGGAAAGCCGGAGTATTTTACGGCATCACTTTGCAGTTATAACTGGGATTCTTTTTGCGAGGAAACGTTGCCTGCTAAAGCTGCTTTAGCCCCTCGTAATATAATAATTAGATTTCTGGATCCAATGGTGGCAACTTCCAGGAAACGTGCACAGGATTTGGGTAAGGTGACCAGATTTTCAGATTGGTAAAGAGGGACACCTTTGACCCGGGGGGGGGGGGGGCTTCATTAAAAATTTTATACGGAGCAACAAAAATTTTCATACAACGCAAAAATAGTA